TTAATTCAAACAATGTGGAAACTCGCACGAAACGTAATTAGGGGCGATCAAAGGCGAGCGGGAAAAGTTGTAATGTTTTTGTTGCTTTTGCTGTGGTATGAACACCAATTAGCAGTAACAAATGTTAGCAGCCACAACTTACGAATGGCCACATATCTAGACATACTAAATCTACACGTAATGTATATTTATAGGCTTCAATTTGAGAACTTGTGCAGAATGATTCACCTAAATTGGAAAACTTACTAGCTTGCATTATATAATTATCATATATAAATAAGATACAATTTGAAATGAAATCTTCAATTATTAAAGCTTTTAATAAATTATAAACATATATGTATAAAAGCTATAAAATTTAAATAATTATATAATTTAATAATTTATATCGCTCAACTCGTTAAGTATTAGTAATTCAATATTTAATTTTGGTATAATTATTAGAAACTAAAATGTTAACTTCACGTAATTGTTATATATATAATCAATATGTTTTATACAGTAATTATATTTCCAAAATAGGTTAAAAATAAAATGGTGAATAAATGGGCATTTATTTCATTGTCATTTTAATATCAATTAAAATATTGAAAAGTAATACAATAATATCATATTGCGTTTGAAGTTATTATTTCATTAAATTCAATTCAAAACAATTTTTTTCAAATAAACTAAAATTTTGAGACTCAATAATTTTGATTAATCAGAAAATATAATCGGTTATAAAGTTCACTCACACGCAATCAGACATCGGCGATTATGATTGGTTAGGAAATAAAAAAGAGACAGAAACACAATTTCACTGTAGAAAAAATGGCAAAGCAGAGGTAAACGCCTTCTGCGGAAATGCGCTCATTTTGAGTGATTTTCAAGAAACACTTAAAACCTCATAAGTAAACACATAAACACAAGAAATATAATTACTCAAATAATTAAGTTTCGAATACCCAAATATTTACTATCTTGGATGCACTAATCATTTGATGTTTGCTTCAGCCATTTAAAAAATATATTTTTTTGACAAATTATTAGTATGTAAATAAAATCCCCTGGCAACTCGAAATATATGTACAAAGAAAACACTTCAGTATAATAGTAAACAATTGAATTTAGGAAAGTAAACAATTGAATTCGAATCCACATGTTGAAATGGCGTAGGAGATATAATGACACAAAAATTATAAAATTAACATTAATTTTTGTTGGGAAGCCATAACGAAACTGGAAAATGCTCTAAAATTACTTTTTCTAATGCGATTTTAGTTTATCTTCCTACATATGAAAACTTAATTTTGTATGGAAACTAGCACAATGTAATCAGCACAGCTTTTGATTTCTATAACTCCGCTGTGGAGAGCTCCACAGTTTTGATGGTTTGGATCGATGGTGATAACTCTTAAACATACATTTGACGGCTCGTTTTTCAAAATGAATATAAACTCTTCTGTGTTTATGCTTCTTGATGTCAGTTCTTGCTTTTTATAAGTTATAGTTAGAGACCAGCTTTAGCTACTTCATTATGAAGTATACGTGTTACGCATATCTTAATATGTGATTGAATCGATTAGGTACATTTTCATATCTGATCCCCATACAGAGTTCATAGTTTCTTCAGTGATTACTTGCCATTAAGGCAATGATAAATGCTGCCATTGGAATTTTTAGGAATTCCGCCGGTACTAATTAAAGCTATACGTTTTAATATAGTTTCCTCCTTGATAGTGAGTGGATCCTAACACCCGGTTGTAGAATGCAACTCCAGATCGAATTAAAGTAATGAATACAGTCGTTTTTCTTATTTACGTAACTTTGGTTTTTAACCACAACCACAACAATATTTTCATTTATGTGGCCAACCTCAATTAGTCAGGATAGGCGAAACTGTGAGCCGGATACACGTAATACTAGATATACACCTCCTGTCGAGTGCCACAAGTGGAACTCACTAACTAACATTTATGTTTTAAACAGTATCAAGTGGTGCCTCCTGGATTTTAGTCGTTTCTTACCTTAGGCATGCCTTACCTCAGAAATATTCTAACCTCTGTTCCGCAGGAGTTGACACCCATACAGTAGTACTGATTTGTAATGTGGATTTAAAATAGGTTACTTTGTATTGGAACTCTGCTGACTGAATCTCCAGATGAAAAATGTGATACAAATTTAATATGACCGTTATCAAAGATTAAAAAGAAATTATTTAAAGACTATTTACTCATGTAATTGCTATTTATGTTGCGCTGTATATTCAAAATAATTCCCATTCAGTGATCCTTTTAAAATTTCGTTAATTCCCATTACGATTACTACATGAGAAAAAAGGTAGTCTTATTTGGCTTTTGTATTTACTTCGAAGTCATTTGTGAGAAATTAATATTTGATATACTTGTAGATAGATTTTATCATATTAAGAAATAGTGTCATATCCTTCGTTACAAGGAGTTATAAAATAATTCTCTGTATATTGTAAAACGGTTCTTTGAAATCGCTAAGTCTTAAATTTCTTGTATATTGTTTTCAGTTACTGTAAGAAGTATCCCAACATATGATGTATTTGACACTGGCATAAGAGTTATGTCACTATAATTATGACAATTGGAGTAATTACCAATTTTGGAATTTTTAATTAAGACCCCACAATTTTATCATCCTATATGTTTTTCAGAATTGAAGCAGTGATGTTCTTAATCAGTTTTAAAAAGTCAAGGGTTAATATCTTCGGACGCTTTATCATTTTTAAATTATTTCATAACAGTAAAAAATTCAGATCATTGTCGAAAATTGGGGTTGATATTCTGAAAGTTTAATAGTCTGTTATGATAGCTTATCAACTTAATAAGCAAGTCAAATATTTCAAAAATCCGACATTATATATTCTATTTTCCAACTTTATCTTGGCCATAGAAAACTCTTAACTAGTTGTTAGAACTTTTAGTTGTTAATTTACTTAATAAAAAACGCAAGTATTATGAAGAAAATTGGTCTAATAATTAATGTACAAATAGTGTGTTGTATATCGTTGTAATTTAAACTATATCTTCTTATCAATCTTCATACCTTAAGAATGGTCTCAAATGCTTTTCTCTAAAGTAATATCCAAATTTTATTACTCTACTCGTAACAGCCAAAGATGGGTTTTACTTTCCATTAAAAATCATATATATTTTTAATTTTTATTTTGCTGTTCAGAAATTAGTCGCTTTCAAGAACACAATCAGCGTTGGAGAAGTTTATAAAATTATCTGTATTTTTCAAACAAATACGAAGAGTTTAAGAGACCTTCTATATTTTGGTAATATCTTTTTGATGAATTCATATATTAAAACATTTCTAGACCGACTTGCGATCAGTTAAGGTAACAGCGCTTACTCTGTCAGAAAAAATTTATAAGCAGTCAAATTTAAATCATTCATTTCACCTTATCATCAGAAGTGCCTTCTCATCAGATCTGCGATGCCAAACTCAAGATTCAAAAGGGTACAAGACATAACTTAATGAAAAAATCCCGTGACTTATTTAAGTTGGCAATGTTCTCACATATATGTAAGTACTATAGAAAAGAAAATCTATTTTTAACAGGCCAAAATATAGCCAAACTATTATTCAAAGTTACTAAGAAAGATTTTAAAAAATATTCTAGGGCCTAATGATATAAAAACAATATATACTGCTTAATATTTAATTAAATTTATTTAATATTGTACGGTTGAATTTTTTTTTGTATAAGTATTAGTTCTTATGAATTCTTATGAATATTACTTCAAGAAAAATTATGCTTCCAATTCCTTAACAAGGGTAGCAGTTTATTAATAGTTTTTCTGATTAAATACAAAATATTAATTAAATTTTCGTAATACCACAATTTTTCAGATTTCTGTTTGAGCTCTTAAGAAGACATAACTTTTCTGCGATAAAAAAGTTTTTACTAAAGTGTTAACTTCCTTAAAATACCAGCAAATTAATCAATTAAACTCTGTAATTAAATATTGTATTAAAAAAATATATATATTTGGTCCCTTTCACTCTAGGTAGTACAGGTAGCCCTAAAAAAATTTCTGGTTTACACTACTTCACTACTTCGCATTGTCTTACTCTATTCAACACAAGGCCTTTGTTTGAAAAGCCGAAAGACAAAAGGAAAAATTAAATCAATGCTCTCGTTCTCACTTGCGTTTGCGGCATGTAAGAGTATTTCTTCTCTTGCATGTTCTTCATTTTTGCTCATTTTTATTTTTACTTTTACTGTTCACTGTTAATTGAACGTCGCAGCAGTGCACAACTTTTCTTTTGTTTTTTTGGCTGCATATTTGACCTCTCAACAGTAATATGGCGCGTTAATCGCTGACTGCAGCCCACGTACTTTTCCACCCTTTCTGTGCCATATTATTTTGATTTATTCCAGAAAGTGTACATACATACATACATATATATATTTTTGTAAACTTTTCTTACTGAGTCGTCGACATTAATTGGCTTTGTACGCAGAAATTCTTTACCTTACGCTAGCTGTTTTTTCGCACTGTGTGACATTACACTGCACTCATACTTTACGCATTAAGTAGGATTTTCTTGCCCAAAAGTTCCAGAGCATATTAGTTTTGGTACGTTTTCTAAATCACCCGTCAAACTAATAAAACTACTTTCATATAAATTCACTAACAAATCCCAGTGCTTCCGATAACAAAAACTCACCTGAAAATATAATATATGAACAATATGTAAATGGTTACTAGCCATTTTCATTTTTTTATGTACGCTACAAACATACACTCGTTGGAATAGTTTTCACAAATTTGCTGTTATTTTAATTATTTTTATGTGGAAGCAAACACCAATGAGTCGATTCGTTTATTTTGTGTTTTGATAACAATTCACACACATAGCCCACTTGCTCGCCTTAAATATGTGGGCAAAATATTTAAATGTAAAACCCACTCACCGAAAACACTCAATTTTACAACTCAAGCGAGTGGCAATGTTTCGTGTTTCATTTTAGGTTTAGTATTCGTTGTGAGAGTGTGCCGGTTGAATCTGAAAGTGCTTTGTCGGGTAACAAATATTGGTAAGAAGATCATCGCGGCTTAAGCCTTACCGTCGGTTTACAATATACACACAATTATAGGTGCTAATAAGTAACTACTTATAGCCCAGCTATATTTCTAGTAATTAAATGTCATTGATATATTTGTGGTCAATAATTGTAATATAGTAAAAAAATTTATAATCAGCTTTAGCCGACGGTAATTTAACAAAGAAATAAATGTTATGTTATAAGAAAAAGTGATTTATGGTTATGTTGATGGACCCAAATGAAGTTGATAATAGTTTTGGACAGTTATCGAGTACTCCTTGGAGTATGGAATCACCTTCGAGACAATCCACAATGCCAACAGTGACTGCGGCAGTGGGTGGCTCTGGCGGTATAGCGTCAATTCCGATGCAAACTCATGTTCCTATAGTTGGATTAACTCCATTAAGTACTTCTGTTCCACCACCGCCCACCATACCATTATCTCCCACAGGTAAGCGCATTTAATATCAATTCACAAAGCAATTTTTATAGAAGAAAATTTTGAATATTAAAATTAAAACAAATCTTTTATATAAATAAAATTTTTACTCAATGAATATAGTGCCCTATTTTCATATTTTACTCAACTCTAAAATAGTGATTACAGTGAGTTGGAGATCATAGAATTATTTTAAATGTATTTTTAAGTAATTTTTACTACCAATATTTAAACAGAATTCAATTCCTTGCAAATGAACAGAAATTTGAGAAACATCAGCAAATTAATTCCGGATATATAATTTATGCAAAAAAAGTTATCATTCATTAGAAGATAATTACCGCTCTCTTTACATACTTACTATTATGAGATATGGATCTGTTTATGTTTAAAATGAGTTCCATTATCCATAACACTATTAACAAGGAACAATCACAAGAGTAGACTATAAATACTTTTTATTTGATGGTCTTATTTTAAAAATTGTTCAGCAGTTTTTAGATATAAAACTCTTATTGAATATTGCTTAGTACAAGATAATAACAGGAAATATTTTTTAATTTTAATCTTAATAACATTCATAATATCAAAAGTAAATAATGAATTTGCCAAGCTGTCTAGATCTTTTTAATTGGTCCATTGAATCTTACTCTGCCCCTTCTCTATGTCTGTCTCTAAAATGAAGAAACACCATTATTAATTTTATTTTTATCTATAATACTAATTACAGTTGCAGTTTTTTGAAATTCCGAAAATGCCTTCTACTATAATATCAAGCATATCTAAAATTATTGATTTACACGATGATACTAGTTCTCCAGAAATTATGTCTTGGAATGACGTATGATTTTAAAGTCTTCTAACTGTATTAACCTATAAAACAAAGTCGTATACCCCAGTTATAATAGCTAGCTCTTTTCATGACAATTAATTTGCACGATTTCTATTGAGTCCAACTTGCATTATTTCTTTAGCAAGCATTAGCTAATTAAGTTGTATTTTTATAAATGCGGTTCTTACAAGTGACTCTAGCATACTTTTCACTTTAGCGGAGCGCAGTAAATTGTTCAGTATCTGGAAAATTGTTCAATATACTTTTATATACAAAGGCCCCACCTAAATATTTATATAAACTTTTATATATTTTTATATATAATTATATCTTTGATGTTTATAAAAATTGAATTTATATACAATTTTTGAATCGTACAAAAATAATCTTTATAGCAATACATTTAGTTACAGTTTAGGGGCTCTTCATATAATTCTTAGTATTTCATATATGACAAATATGACAATCCTTTAATTTTCAAAAAAAAAGAAATAGAAAAATAAATGAAACAAAGAATAATCCATTCTGTTTAGAAAAGTTTAGTCTTTCTAGTCTTTTGGGTAAAAATTATACGACACTGATAACGCAATATACCTTATGATCAAAAAAGAACGAGAATTTAAAAAATATAAACCGCAAAATTTTAATTTTTAATAATTTTCTTTATTATCGCCTTCAAAGTACTCTCCTCCTGCGGCAATACATGCATGTCAACGCTTGATCCAATTCTCCATACAAGTTTTATAGACTGCCGAAGGTATGACCTTTAGTTCACGCAGCGAATTCTCTTTTATGGCCTCTATGGTCTCAAAACGCGTTCCTCACAATGGCAATTTGAGTCGAGGGAAGAGGAAAAAGTCACACGGTGACATATCTGGAGAGTACGGTTCTTGGTTGATGAAAAAACTGCGACACAACCAACGCTGTGTGAGCCGGTGCGTTATCGTGGTGTAAAATCCATGAGTTTTCCTTCCATAAATCTGGCCTCTTTTTTGCGAATGGCCTCACGCAAACAACGCATAACGGCCAAATAATACTCCTTATTGATCGTTTGACCGTCCGGAAGGAATTCATAGTGCACCACACCACGAATATAGAAGAAAACAGTCAGCATAACCTTGATTTTGGACCGACTTTGGCGTTCTCTTTTCGGTTTCGGCTTACCTTCGAAGCACCATTCGGTCGATTGTTGTTTGGTGGCCATGTCAAATTCATAGACCCATGTCTCATCACCAGTTATGATGCGTTCGATGAATGTGGGGTCACTATCTGCGTTGGAAATCATCTCTTTGGCCACATCACAACGACGCTTTTTTTGAATGAAATTCAGCTTTTTTGTCACCAGCCGGGAAACGACGCGTCGCCCATTCAATGTTTTCTTCAGTAACAAATGTTGTTGGGCGTCCAGGGATCTTATCATGGTCCAAGCTTGTACGACCGTCTTTGAACGTTGCAACACACACAAATCACCAAAGGCCTTTTTTAACATTTTCAACGTTTCGGCACACTTGAATCCATTTACAACACAAAATTTGATGCACGCACGTTGTTCTAATTTTTGATCCATTATAAAAATCGCCACATAAAATTTTTCGACTTCTTTGTATAGACGCCAAGCAAAAACTAATCGTACGATATGCGTTAAACTTTGGCAGAATGTGTATAATAGTGTTGCCAGCCTGAAAATAAAAAAAATTTGCCGATTGGATAAGCGCGGGAATTGTTCTTTTTTGATCAGAAGGTATATTTGCTTTTTGAGAATATATTGTTTCATCAACTCATAAATGAGTGTCAGATGTAGTAAATTTTTTTGTTGCCGAAACAGTTTTCTAGGAAAACTGATTTGATTGTGATTATTCAGATTGATTATGATATCTTATTCTATTTAAAAATTTCTCGACAGGTTTAGGTTGTTGATATCGAAATCAATGATTGAAATTTTAAAATTTAAATTTTTTACGTACATATATAAAATCCAATTACTTTTTGCAACAAGAAAAATTAATTTATCAGAGTTTTGGATTCACAGTATCTGGTTTTTAGGTGAATTAGGTGTAACATTGTGAAAATTTTATAAGATATTTAATAAATAAATTTAAAAACTTTTAACCAAAAATAATAAATAAGTGCAATAAACTAAAAAAAATTATTAACATAAGTGTAGTGCAAAAACATCTCTAGGAAATTTCAATTTACTTTACCTCAATTTACTCCAACTCGCATGCGGCCATTATAATCAATATAAAAAACTGTATATGCGTTTCGTGGCTAACAGCAGTCTTCCATTTCCTCGATGATCTGTCATTTTTTTAATTCACTATTTCAATTGTGTAACGGTCGTTATAGTCCAATGATTGTTTGCGATACTATAATACATTTTATCAATTCTTACGAATCTAGTCAAACGGTCTACACCGGTTTGGGTAAACCCTTCTAATAGAATCTTAGAAATTGTTACAAATTTTTTGATTTGTCAGTTTTGAAAGTTTCAGGCATTTGAACCACTCAAAGCTTGGATCTCATTAACCACCGAAATCTCACTAGTGGATCACTAATGGATCTCACTAGTCGTAACGTTTGAATTTAGCCTCTAATATTTTTGTTATTGCATAACATATTGTAGTCCTAATAAACTTCGTCTAATTTGAAACTAATTTGCAATTGCATTTTATACTTAATAATACAATCACACCGCGATACTTGTTCTTACTTTTTTTCACAAGCACCTATACTTGTGCCAATTAAAAGAATTATTAAAAATAATTTCAGAAGTAAATATTTTCAGGACTGCATTCTTATTCAATATGTTAAAATCATGAAATATAAAATCTCGCGGTGAAGCTAACTTTTCGAGCACCCTTCGTAAGTTATATGAAATTAATGGTTTTGAGATGAGGTTTGGGATGTGAATTCAGAAAGCATTTACACTGAAAATCATAATATTAACTAATCTATATGAATTCTTAAACTATTTAATACTAACTAAGCATCCAATATACTTAGTAAATTTGGATTCGAGTTCTTGTAAAATCCTGATTAAATTTATAGGCGCACTTAAAAAATTAAATTTGACACAAATCGATGAGCTAGTGGCTCAAAGGGAGGTGTCCCTTTATATCAAATTAGCAGGTTCAAGCACAACAATTTTTTTTTTGGATTAAACAAAAATATTTTAGAGGACAATTTGAGAAGTTTGCTCCTGTTTATTTTTTAATATATATATATATTTTGTTTTTTATTTTCTTTAATGTGTATTCCCATCAAAATATCTAACTCCCCACCAACCACTAAAATCGCATAAGTTAAATTTCAGCTCACCACTTTTCGCTTTCTAAGAAAACTACAAATTGAAACCTGAGACCAATAAGTATGGTTTCTGCCCTTTTATTTTGTTTGTCTTTATAATTTATTTATTTATTGTGCAACTTCCAACACCTTTCAAAGTCAGTAAGCTGAATCTGCCATCACTGTATGATATTCTCTTCGAATTCGTACACAAAACTTGCAAGAGGCACTGCAAGCTGCATGTGGCAATATGTGGCAATATGTGCCAGTACGCATCTACAAACTCACATTGCTCAATAGCTTGGATACTAAGCGTTCGGTGGGACTGGACTGAAAGATTTTAAATTAATTTTATTTGACAGCACGTACTTGTGCAAAACAAATTGCCACTGATGTGAGAACGGCACAAAACACACTGTCGTATTTTAATTTCCATATCGATGCGCTTTGCAATTCCAAGACATTTTAATATCCTTAAATGAATATTAGAACGATTAAAACCAAACAGGAACAGATATGAATGTGTGGAATTTTTTGTTATTAGAAATTATATATTTATTTTGATTTACTCTTTAGTTCATATATTAAATATATACAGCTTTGCGTATTTTTAATTCCAATATACGCTGATCTCTCTAGTGCTTGCAAACAATCATATAGAAAAATACGTAATTCTCTTACAAACAGTAATATGATTGAAGATGTACTAGGTTAAGATTATCCACTTCGATTATAACATAATAACATAATATAACTTAACATAGTAAGTCAGGTAAATTTCTCGAAAATATTTAATGTTCCTCTCTCTAACACAAACTACAAACAAAATTTTTCAAACTCTGACTACTCTCTTCTTTTGGAAAATTTACTCAACAATAGATAATTCTAGATAAAA